CATATTAGCACTTTGCTTAATTTGCTCTTTTTCTTGCCTATATTGCTCTATCTCTTGCCTATATTGCTCTTTTTCTTGCCTATATTGCTCTATCTCTTGCCTATATTGCTCTTTTTCTTGCCTATATTGCTCTTTTTCTTGCTTAAGTTGTTCGTTTATTTGTGCCCGTTCTTCCATTTCCCTGTTATACCTCTCCTCAGCGGTTTCTTTATGCTGAAATCTCTTGTCAAGTCTTTCTCCTAATAGCTTTAGTGCGTACAATATTACGTGCCTTATCTGTATATCATCTCCGCTCCAATTCGAAAAATCTTCTATAATTCTCTTCTGCTTCTCTTCTGGCCCTTCTTGTTTTATAAAATAGGCTTTAAATCTCTGTACATGCGTTGTTTTTGCTTCTTCATAAATATTTCTCATCACTTCCAGTAATTCTATTTCTGATAGCTTGGCTATTCTTATCTTGCTCTCTTGTACAAAGTTTGAGTCTATCTTCCCTACTATCGATTCCACTTCTTCCTGTGGTAATTTCATCAACTCTAAAAAAAACTTGTAGTACATAAATGTAAATTCTTTATACATCAGCACAGTCTGCACTAACACTTCATTTGCTCCTATTTTACTCCTTCCTCCTAGCAGCATTTTATGCTGTTCTTCACTCTCTTTTAGGAGTTTTTCCACTTCACCCTCGAGATTCCTCAGCGTCTTTGTTTTATCCTCTTTACATTCTTCAAGTAAAACTCTTATATCCTCTATCCAGTCGTGATCATATCTATAAGCATAATCCTTATCATACCCACACTTTAGCACCTTCATATATATATCAACACTTTTTTGTATTCCCTCTTTACCTTTTCCTTCAAACTCAAAATCTAAGTCAAGACTTTTATAGAACCAGACGTACCACCCTTTTTTCTCCTTTTCTCTCTTCCTGATATTCTCCTTTACCTTATTTGCAAAACTTTCTATTTTTTCCTCTTTCATGCTTTTTAGCACATTTATACCTTCTTCTATGACTTTTGCCGTATTTTTTTCTTGTTGTAAATATTCGTTCCTATAATCCAAAACTGCTGCCTCTTCGCTACGTGCCAAAAAGCTTAACTTTGACAATATCGGATGTATCCCGCTAAAAGCTGATACTCCTATTGTTTTAAATATGTCATTACCACTTATTAGCTCATTTAGTGGTATCTCCCCATATATCCTATACACTCCATAACATTTTATGTAGCCATACTCTTCCATAATGTAACTGTGCGCTTTCTTTAGACCTTCTATAGCATTATTTATGCATACTTGTCCTTTAGACCCTTGCTGCTTGGTTTTATCGGGGTGTAGAACTAGTGACATTCTTTTTACATCACGTATCAAGCTATTAAAATATTCATTATGCTCCTCCTTGCTCTTATTTTTATCCCTTATTCCCTTTGCGCTCTCGTCCAGGTGTAATAATAACCATCCTAAATTCAGTGATTCAAGTGCTTCTCTTAGTGTTTCCGCTTCACTTTCCACTTTTAGAATTCTTCTTAACGCGCTCTTCTCTCTTTTTTTTAGTCCTGTTTCAGGCT